TTGTCGCCGAGCTTGATTCTCCCCACACGTCCAAGCTTAGGGCAAGGGGTGGCTGCCAGGTTGTTTTCAGGTCACAGCCTTCTGTGGTTAAAGCTGAAAGGGGCTGCCTGTATGTTTTCATCCCTCCCACCCACCCTAAAGGACAAATGCAGTCTCCCCCGGTTCATTTTATAAAATCTTAAAGCTTGCTCTGCAGCACCGTACGATGGAAACCTTAGCAGGCTTAGCAACAGGTAAATTAAATGACAGTGGTAGCGATGAAATGGACCAAAACATGGCCATTGCTCTGCGTTGTTCAGACCTAAGCTCAATTAGCCTGAGTGTTATGGGTGAAGATACCTTTTTCTGAGCAGTTTTTCTAGGGAGACGAGCAAAAGCAGTGCGAGTTGGTTGCTTGCCCTTTTTGCTTAAAGGAGCAGGCAGCAGAAGTCAGCTTTCAGGTATACCTGTAGTATATTTCAGGTAAAATTAAATGCATAAAAGTAAATGGAGGTCAGGCAGAACTTACTGGTATGAGCAAAAATATAACTTGCACAGTTTTCTCCTAGTTTTAGGGTGTTTTAAATAATGGAAGGCAAGGCAAGGACAGAGACCCATCATTATACAAAATAGCAACTACTTACCACTGTCCGGTGTCAAGTATAGGTGCTTCAGAGTTTGTTTAGGTGAACTGAGTTGTGTTTCTCCTTCCCCTACTACCTAATATTGCACACAGTTATCGTATATCCATATCCATACAGAGCTATTTCACAGGCTTAATGACGGCTCTCAAAGCCTCACTTTGCTCTTTTAGGCTTGAGACCAGTTCGAGTTCCCATCTTGCAGGTGCATGTATCAAGAAGGGATCCCAGACAAAAGCTGTCCCTTTGAAGACTGAAATTCAAGTTTAACTTTTATCTTCTGTTAGTGACTTTTTTTATTTAGGAGTCTGTCTTTCATTTGTTCGTATTTTCTGCTTCTCTTTTTCCCTTCTTGATTAGGGAAATATGTTCTGATGAGAGGAAATGGAAGTGTGTCAGAGGTGTTTTCTATCTGTGAACTTTAACGTTAAACCTTAGTACAGTTCTGTTTTAAGTCCTAGCTTTGATCTTATTGTATTTACCGTATTTGCTTCTCTCCCTAGTGTCCAAAAATCAACATGTCTAGCAAAAAGGCAAAGACGAAGACCACCAAGAAGCGCCCTCAGCGTGCCACTTCCAATGTATTTGCAATGTTTGATCAGTCGCAGATTCAAGAATTCAAGGAGGCCTTCAACATGATCGACCAGAACAGGGATGGCTTCATTGACAAAGAGGACTTGCACGATATGCTCGCCTCCCTTGGTAATGTCACTTTCCTGTTTACGGTTGCCTGTTACAATTTGTGCTGTTACAATTAAAATACTGAGTTTGGCGTAGCTCATGAGAGGTGTCTTACTTTGTACCATGCTATTCAGATTACTTTTTCTTTTAGTTTGAAAGCTAAACCAAATATGAATCCCTCTATCTGTAGGAAAGAATCCAACGGATGAATACCTAGATGCCATGATGAATGAGGCTCCAGGCCCCATAAACTTCACAATGTTCCTCACAATGTTTGGTGAGAAGTTAAATGGCACCGATCCGGAAGACGTAATCAGGAATGCTTTTGCTTGCTTTGATGAAGAAGCGACAGGTACGTGGGTGAAACTCAGCTGCTTGGGGGGGGTACTTTTATGTTGTTTACTTGGGTTTCTAAATAGTAAGCTGATTTTTGCACCTTTATAAATGAAGTATGACACAGTAATCCTTCTAGATAGCATATTCTACCAAGTAATGAGAATTTGACTTATTACTGAGTGAGAGTAAAAACTGTCTGGCTGTTCTGTGTGAGTACTGAGGACTAGTAGTAATGTTCTTCTGTGAGGCATTGAAGAAGAGTGTTTTAACCGGGCAGTGTGTATGTTCCTCAAGGTGCAATATAAGATGCATTTGCTCTAAGAAGATGAGGAATTCAAATTGGTAATGCATGATTTTCTGTGGCATTGAAAAGGTAACGGATGTGAAATCTGTAATACAACTGAGTTTGTCCTCCCCCTGCAGTAGATCTGTGATGCATCTGAATTCTTTGATGTTTTTAAGATTTCAAGACAGGCTGTCCAGGCTACGTAAACTCTTTTGAACCCTCATCTTGCCTAGTGTATGTTATGGCTCTGATGACAAATGCCATGTCTCATGCCCTCACCCACAGCTCAGTTTGCTTTCAGGTTACAAGAAGGGCTGTAGCCTTAATGATCTAAAGATAAAAACCGGGTGGGGTCTAGAAGGCAGAAATGACAGATTGGACTGATTTGCATAGCAAGATGGGGGGAAAGAGGAAAATGCAGAGCTCAGTTTTACTATCTCAGACTTTCAAGGTTGCGCCCCTGTAATCTTGAGGTTAGAGTTTATGCTTTTATTTATTTATTCATGTAGGGTAAGATTCCAGAGAAGTGTATAGCAACCAGGGATGAATCCTTAGGGCAATTCTGCGGAATTACAGAATATCAGCGCTTTGACATGTTGTGAACACGTCTTACTAGAGTGTGCCGAAATTAAGTAGCCTCTGTACCAGAGATGTCACTGACCTATAACTTTCCTCGCAACTGTCCACCACAATATTGCAGTCTAACCTGTGGATATGTGCTCTGAACCTTTCAAGGATATTATTCCATTTCAAACAGCTATTTTCAGTCTGTGTATTTTTAGCACCTTTTGCCTTTTCAAAGAGCATCCCCGTCCTGCTGAGGTGTAGGTAAACAGGCTTTCTGTTGGTAAGGCCTTTTCAAATGTTAATTGACTTCCTCCCTCTCAAGGGAAATCTCTTTACCATCTCCTAGAGAAGGAAGTTTTGTTAGTAGGTTAATTATTTTCTCTCCACAGGTAGTCTGACTCACTGTGCTACAGGGTTTTTTTGTGTGCTCGAAAACAAGAGCCTGTGAATTACGATATAAAGAAAATGATTGTGCTACCAGTTCTTTTGAACAGTAACCTTCTACGTCTATGTAAACAATAAGTTACTAGTTCAGGCCACTATGTACTGATAAGATTGATTTTATTATCTTTCAACTCTGTGTGGCAAATGTTTTAGTCTAGTCCTAGGATGATTTGAGGGTAATGGTTCCACAGTCTTTTGTGTCTTATGCCATCCTCAAATTTTAACCAGGAAACATGTTAGATAGTTATGCTGTTTTATTGATTTTTTTATTCATAATAGTCAAAATGCAGTCTTCAAAATAACGAACGATGGTTTTGTAGCACCCCTATTATGTTTGCCTTTTATTAATTTAATTCTCAGATCGGCGTCTGATCAGTTTGTTCCTTTTAAAAATGAACAAAACCATTCCTAGCTATGTCAAACCTTTTTCTTTTTCTTTTTTTTTTTTCACCTCATAATCTCCATGTGCGTGTGTGTTACGGGCCTGTTTCTAACTCTACATCAGTGTAGTTCTTTTGAAAGAGAATAATACAAATCGGATCCTCTTGATGAGGACAAGGTAGTTAGTTGTACTTGTTCGTTTTTACTTACATTTCTTATATTGCCACTCTAGTTGGGTATATGGCTTCAGCATTACTATTGTATGTTGTACTATGAAATTAGTATAAAAGTGATATCTGTCTGCATTTGGTATATCTTTTGTCTGCTCTTTGATCCTGCATTGCCATCTGTTTTGTGCTGTCTGCCACAGGCTGAATCTTAAATTTTGCTTCATTAATTTGTTACTGCCCATCTACACTGAAGCTGTGTGTGAGAGAGTGGGAGTACTGTCTGCTTTACAATTCGGTGCTGCTAAAACTTTTAGTGTATTCCTAGTCTGGCAACGAGTTCAGTGTTTAAACACCTAGCTGTTCACACAGGAGCAATTAAGGCTTGAGGCTTAACTTGCAGCACCAAAGGCCTTGCATTCTTTGAATACTAATCCTTATGTCATCGCTCATCACTACTTGGTCTCTGTAGGACCGCAGACAGAGAGAGCCTAATCTGTTTAGCTGTTTTTCCCCTTCTTTAGGCACATCTGCAAAGAGACAACTCCAAAATGTGACCCCATTAAGATGGACCTGGCCGACTGAACATTCTCCCTGTTTTTAAAGTAGAACATTGCTGTTAGCCTTCTTCATTCGGAGTCGGTAGTCAAGGGCTTGTCTACACTGGGATATGATGCTGTTTTAATTAGCATATGTTGAAACACGTTTTTTTTCCCTTCCCTGCAGCATACACCAACCCCATGATAATTTGTCATGCTCATTGACTGCCTTTTGGTCCCCTGATTTCCTGTTTGGTTTTGTCTCTTTAATGAACTCTGTTTGCTTAAGTTATTCAACTCTCTTTCCAAAGCAGAACTTTTTTTTTTTATCACATTCTAATTGAATCTACATCAGTTGATGTGTGTGTCTACATATGATTTCCAGCTGTTCTGCACGGTTTACATATCTTTTCTTTTGGAACATACTACTTCTACCTCCTCTGTTCTGTTATTGATATTTCTCCAACTAAAGTTCAATAACCAATTTCTTTCTCAAATGAAGCAACTATTGTGCATTTAAAGGCATGGTAGGTCTTATTTCAACATTGAGCAGTTTCTGCATTCTTCTGTCTACCATTTGTTATGCGCATTCCTTTTTTCATCTCTCAACTTTCCTGGAGTTATTTGGCAACTGGTGGTTCTGCCCATCTATTGAAATTGAATTAACAGAACATACTTAGCAAAGGCTCATTTTTATATCTTTGTTAATTTCCCCCAAAATCTTCTGCTAATATTTTAGTATAAAATAAATAACTTAATATATCCTACCTTTTTTTGAGTAGCTTCTCCACCTCTACCTCTCCATAGTAAACATTCTTCTTCCCTCCTGAGTTAACTTGCTCAATCCTGTCTGAAAGTCTTTTCTGTTATAAACTTTTTTTCAGGAGTTCCCGTTCCCCACGTAACCCCCCCCCAGCCACAGTATTGTGCAGCAGTGAAGAGCCAGCCAGTGGTTATTTAGTCCCCAAAGGAAACTAGTTTATAAAGGATGCGCAAATATATCTAATTAAGTCAAGAAAAATATAATTCAATTAAGAGAACAGCTTGTGTAATGAAGGCTAGCAGTGACAGGAACTTGTTTTTCCACTTTGAGCTGTTGAAGGTCAGTAGATGGAAATAGGTGTTATTAGATCACAGCAGACCAGGCCCTCTTTTCAAAAATCTGTATGAAATGCGTTAAACTTCCCCCCCCTGCCCTTTTGCATTCAAGGAATTTCTTTAGAATTCAATTAAGAGAGTATTTTGGGCTCTTGGTGCAAATGCATATATTACATGCTGTATACATGCTGTATTAGTTAATTGGTATGTCTGTCTTACTGCTTTTGAAGACTCGGCTAAGAAATGGCTTCCCTTTTGTGTTTCTCTCCATACATCTCATTCTAGGGTTCATCCAGGAGGACTACCTGCGAGAGCTGCTGACGACAATGGGAGACAGGTTCACAGACGAAGAGGTAGATGAGCTGTACAGAGAGGCACCCATCGACAAAAAGGGGAATTTCAACTACATTGAATTCACACGCATCCTGAAACATGGAGCAAAAGACAAGGATGACTGAGCAAATCCCTGGATACCTGCAGATAGCTTCTCCCCCCCCGCTCCCCCCCCCCATTAATTTTATTTCTCAGGACGTATTTTTTCTTTTTTTTCTTGTTGGGACCTTTTGCATACATTTTTAGCATTCCAGCTTTTTCCTCTGTGGACTCTGGGGCTGCTTGGGCACACCTGCGCCTTTGTAATAGGACTGGAAATGGGCAGGGAGAGAGGACAGCTTACAGTGATAGAGGTTTAGGGACAAAGATCAGTGCGTGTGGAGGCCCAGGTAAAAATGTCAGTGCTACTCATCATAGCTAGATTAATTTCACATTTTTAATGGTAACATTTCAAATAAAACACTGCTATATTAAGTACATCATTAAAGTTTTCATGCTAGAAGTGGACTGTCTATCTAATCATGTCTGTAAATATTTTTGCAATTGTATGCAGTTGTGTTGTTACCTATTTTTGCCTTAAAAATGAAGCATAAGTCACTTAAGCATTCTGATGTTTGTACTTCAGCGACTGAGTACTTCACTTACTACTGTGAGCATATACAATGAAGAAATTCCCATCCTTCAAATTTTAGTATGTTGTAAATTAATTATTTCTGTCCAAGACTTGCACATTAAACATTTTAAATCTTATGGATGTAATTGAGGGGTTTTTTTACGACCTTAGTGCCTCCACTTCTTGACACTGAGTACAAGATTAATGCTGCTTTTTAAAAACTTATATGGTAAATCCTGGTGTTTTCTTAAAGAAAGATACCGTGTGAGAGTAGAGTGCTTGAGTGATGCCTCTTACCAGGTCTGCAGGACTGACAATATAGAATTCATTACATTTCATTGCAACCACTTTTTTTTTTCTTTTCTCTTGCCATCTTTTTTCAAAGCACAGTGAGAATGGGGCTGGATGAAGAAGGAAGGTATGCTGTCTCTGTCCTTTTTGTTTTCTATCTGAAAATGTTTTTCTTGCTCTCCAAATGAAGCAATATGCAATATATTTTTAAGAGCTGCTGCTGAGAGTGGTGCTTTGGGTGTGTGAGAAGGAGGCATTCCTTTTTGTTCCATTTCTCATAATTATATCCTCTAGTTCTTGTGGTATGGAATGCATAGCAGATTTGCTACAGTACTCTGAAGCAACTTTGCCATAAGCTGAATACTTGTGGTTCTGGTTTTTTGGTCTTGAGAGAAAGGGTGATCGGAGCTGCTTCTGTCACTTCTAGGAATTACATTGTTATCCCTTAAGAATTTAGGTTACAAAATTAAGAAATGTCATTTTGCTGAGAGCGTTTTGCTGTTTCTTAGTAGGCTATTGTGAACTGAACTTTTAATAAATTTCATTAGAGGACAGGGATTATTTGTTTTAGAAATACACTGTTCTTTCGTGAATAACCTACCAGGACTGCCACCTTTTGAGAAAGACAATGCCTTCGCTGCTACCTGTAAGAAAAAACTCTGAAGCTTCTGCTCTGCTTCAGTCCCGGTCAGCTTTGCCCAAGAACAGGAGCTGTGCGAGCCTAAAGAATGACAGGATGCTAACAGCAGGCCTGTAAGAAGAGTGTGGAAGATGCTGAAAGAGAGAGGGGGAAAAGGGTACAAAATGCTTTCAGAGAAGACAGCAGAAGAAATCCCAATGCTTCAAAAGTAAGTTTTCTCTCAGTTGCTGCTTTTTTGCTGAAAATATTTGTATTTAGAGGGGGCAGAGACAAAAACTCGAAAAAGAACTTCTGTAAACTCTCAGTGAAACCAGTTTTGCCCTGCCTGAAGGAGGGGAAGCCGGCCGGGTCCTCACCAGCCCACCGGCGGCGGACGGCCTCCCTCTTCCCCCCGCGCCACGGGCGTGCCTGCGGCGGGAGCGGGCTGGCAACTTGCGGCCAGTATCCGGAGCCATCAGCAGGTGGCATTACAGCTCCTAGGGCTGACTTGGCTGAAGGGCAAACGGCTCGCAACACCATTTTTCTGTTGTTTTTTTTTTTTTTTGAGTCCCGAAGAGCTCATTTAGTGCAGCATAGGGAGGAAAATACACAGCAGCTCTGCTCCTGCCACAACAAGGACTAACGCTGTCGGGATTTTTCAAATTGCAGCTTTTGTATGCACTGGATTTTGGCTCTTTAATCGAATTAATTCTTTACAGAAGAGAGTAAAACAAGGTATCTGCAAGCCGTTGTTACAGTCATGTATGTACAAACACACATGTGGTGTATGTTTGAAAAAGATTGGGTTTCAGAAGGACTTCAGGCCTTCCTTGTAACTCAAACCAGATACACCGCTCATGCATTTCATTTCCCAGTATCTCAGTAAGCGCTCTTGTTGTTTTGTAAGGTTAGCGTGGAGAAACTGCCCCAAATTCAAATTTATATGTTTGCATAACTTTGTTTACATATGAAAGACTAAAACCTGTGATATAAACTAAACTGTTGAGGCTCTGAGCGAGGCAACTGGTAGTTTATCTATAGCAATAAATGCCAATTGTTAAACCCCAGTTCTCGCCTATGGGCCGGGGCTATGTTGCTGTACAGCAACGCCTATATGCCATTTGGTCTTGTGATGATGAACTGTAATTCACTAATGCTATTGTTCTTAGCCGTGCCTTTGGGAGCATCTTTGTTTTACCCTCTCAAGTTTAATGGCATTTAATGCTCTGATACAAACACATCAGAGGGACTGATAAAAATGGACTTTTGGTGGGTAATTCAGAGGCCTGGGATTTCTCTTGCAAAGACATTTTAAAGCCCAGCTCACCTCTGATGCCTTAAAGTTGTGTCTGTCTGTAACCACTAACACTGGTTTTATAGTGTAACTGCAGTTCTCAGTCCTGGCAAAAGCCTCAGTAAGAGCCACGCAGAATAATTTCCAAGTGTCCTCACTGAAGTGGGTCAGCAGAACATGAAGGCGCTTATGGTGGGATGTCTTTCTCCTTTTATTTTTTTTTTTATTAATTCAGTTGGTTTGTAGCTAGGTCACTTGAGTGGAGGGCTGGAACAATGTGGCCTTGAATCCTCTCAGCTAGAAAAGAGAATTAAAAGTAGGTCTGCAACATTCAAGCTGAATGTTAAACCACTGAACAATTGAATAGGGGAGGGTGGAACCATCACAAGCAGCTGTGTTTCTTATTGTGCTTTTTTTTTTTTCTTTTTTGGCAAATGAAGGCACTTAGGCAATGATCCCAGCAGAAGGGATTAAAGAGATCAATTCTACCTGAAGAAAGACTTTCCTGCTCTTCAAGGTGAAGTTCCCAAAAGCTATGATTCATGAGTGGGGCTGGTATGCTTGTTCCTGTGGTTGCGGAGGCAACAGAACTGAGTTTTAGCTTATAAATGAGTTTTAGCTTATAAACCATTTCCTCTCCAGAACTGTTTGTAAATGTTTTCCTCTCCGGGGCTGTTTGTGAGAAGCAGTGCCTCACCAGGGAACTGTCTCGCACATCCTGTATCTGGCCTAACACCCCCCCACCTGCCCTCAGTGCAGGTAACAACTTGCAAAGGTTGTCACTGCCCTCACTCTGCTTTAATGTCGTGCGCTGTAAGCTGCTGTGGCTCAGCAGCTGGTTATCCTTGAGCAGCTCAGCTCTCTCTGTAGCGGGGGCAGTCATTTTGTACGATGTGCTGTCCCTACTTGTGAATTACAGCTCTAACTCCTGTAGAAAGAGCAGTGGTGACTCCTTAGCTTCTCTTCAGTATTTCTTGTCGATGAGATTCAGCAGATCCTTACTCAGTACGCTTGTTTTAATCGTTGCTAATTTTAGTGCCTAACTCCCCTAGATGGGGAGAGAGCAGCATCTGTCAATCTGGCAGGCATGCCTCACTCTGAATAGTACCAATAATGTCAAGCATTCTTCACTGTCATCCGGGTACCAAGTAGCGGGTATTTAGTACGACAGCATCCAAATGTCACATAGAATGATGCTTGGTCTGAAAAAACGTGAAAGTCTTAAGAGAATTCATATCACCAGGGTGGTAGTGTCTAAATACTAGGCACTTGGTAGGACCTTTGTGGGCTGTTTCCTAGCGGCAGGCACGGTTTATATTGCTATTCAAATAACCTTAGCTAACTGCTGACTCATCTCCAGTTCCACTCTAAGCATCCCATTACTTAAGTATAAAAATTGTTTTAGTAGCACTCATTAGCTGTGAAAGGCAAACCTAACTAGAGTTCCTATGTGATCATCACGAGATCAGAAGTGTCATGTAAACAGAGTATTTAAAAATATAAAAAAGCGTTCACACAACTTTAATAGGGATGCATACCAGTCCCAGCAGGCTTCTTTCAGTGAGTAGGTAAGAGTTGCAAATTAAAGATACTTGCAGCTGGAAACTTCCTTTCCAAATAACTGCAGGTCACTGTGACATTGGAAATGGTCGCAAAAAGCTACAGTGAGACCACAACCATTGCATGCTGCGCACCCACCCCCCTTCCCCCCACCCCACACACACATACACAAGGTTTCCTGAGAAATCTGCTCCGCTCTATGCCCCGCAGCCCTAGCAAGCTTCAAAGCTGCAGGGCTGGAGTCAGTTAAAAGGGGAGTTGACAAGTTTCATGTTAGCAAGATAAGCTCATGAACTTTGTGATACATTTTTGGAAGAGAATTAAATGGAACAAAATTACTTGTAGTTAGTGCTTGCCTGTTTCTTTTACTGATTCAGGGGATAAGGTATTGTATATTTATTAGAACCTGAGAGGTATGTTGTGCAAAACGCAAGTTGTAACACTGTTACTGCTACCCTGTTGGCAAACAGGGGAACTTGGCCATGAATCTAAACCCTTCTACTTTGCCTGCCCTCCTCCTCTGCTAATTAAAAAAAAATAAAAAGGTAGCAATGTAATTTTCAATTGTCAGAAGACAACATTTCTTTCAGACTTTGACTTTTTTTGTAACTAGTTGAACATAATCTTAGAATTTAACTAACAATAACTAGTTTCTCTGCTGTAACAAGCGTAGGTACGCAAACTGCATCTGTCTTGCTGGTGTTTGTTATTGGTGCTTTTCAGCACATCTATCTGTTCCAGGGCCTCTTTGCCTAGGTGAGGCAGAGAACAGCAGCACTGTTGGAACTGTGTTTGGGGATGTCTTGCTACATGCAGCCCTCAGAGGAAGGAGGAGTCATCAAACTTGTACGAAAGGATGAGTAAGGAATGCACTGCAAAAATGCAGAACTGATTCACTTAGTGGAAGATGACTATGGGCTACCTGAACCCCCAAAGAGGAGGATAAACTGTTGCCATGAAGTGCTAGTTATAACTCTGTGATTAGCAGAAACCCGACCCGGTAGCAGCTATAGCAGAATTTGGAGGCAAGTTGCAATGTGGATGGGACAGCAATCAGAAGGCAGTGATGAGGCTTGTTGGAAGTACTTGGGTTTACTCTGTTCCTGTTGCAATGCATGCAGCCTGCTGCCCCTGAAATTTTCTGCCCCAAGCTCTGGACACAGAATTTGGGTAACTGAGTAGCTATCTCAACTAATGAAGATTAAAACAGAAGAAAGAGGAGAGAAGATAGGGGCTGAGGCACTGAAGTATTTCCTGATGCAGCTGATCAGAGAGATTACTCTCTAGCTGAGATCCCAGAGTAGGCAGCCTTCTCCAGAGGCTGGATACCAATGCCTAGTCAACTCTTTAGGTAGCCCCTTACTTTG